AGTGATATGAGATGTTGACAAAACATAGAGACGAGAGGTACAATACAGAAACGTAGTGATGGAAGATATACAAATAAAGAGTTGCACAGCTTCTAAGAGAGATGCAGACTGCAGAGAGATATCGTGAGATGAGCAATATAAGATTGAGATATAGCGATAGAAAACGGTGAGATGATAATCATAATATTGATGTACTTTGCAAATATTTGGTGCAACGCCTGCTTGTTCCTAACGCACCTCCGATTAGCACGGTTGGCTACGTACGATGCGAAAGAGGTTCAGCGTACATACGGTACATACAACATTGGGTGCCCTTGAGCAACCTGGGACATTGAGTGTTTGCTTACTCCGCTCATCTTTAGCGCCAGTCACTGCACGGACCGACCCACTCTTCTATCCTCGACTCTCACGCAGGGGGTGGGGAGGGTGACTGGTGGCTCCGTTGTCAAGCCTTCGAAAGGAAATAACTCACATTACTCGCTGTCGCCACAAGGCGTTCCCTCGACTTTGCTGCCCAGAGAAGGGAGTGGAGAGGCGAGTGTTGTCCTGTTACGTGATTAGGAGTCTCGGCACGGTGGTGTCAGATTTTGGGGAGAAAATCCTCCAGTTGAACGCTCAAAAATGTTTCCCAAACGTGAATTTTAAACAAAGAATGCTTCCGGACGAAATCTAAGTGGCCCCTTTCGGAGAGGGCCCAACGTGCCCATGGCAGTTGAGCAGTCCGGCCCACACCGCTGATGTCACGCCGCGTTCGTTTCTCCACCGCAAAAAATATATAACCTCCACGGCCTCTTTAAAAAAAAAAACACCATCTGGAAACGCTTACACCGAGTTAACAATTATGAGTATTTTACGACTGCATTTACTAAAATAAAAAAACCGGCTTGGAACGTTGTCGTTACGCTACAGGCTGAGATGGAGTTTGACATCTATATATTTGGGGGGGGGGGGGGCATGGGGTTCGCTTTGTTCCTCACATTATGAATCGCAGGTGCATGTAATTAATTTATTTTTAATTGTAAACTATTGCCTCCTCCCCGTGCGCCCCCCCCCCCCAGGCAAACTCCACCCATGACTGCATAGGTCTGGCGCATGATTAAAATGGAAGGAATTAACAGGGACTAGATTGGGGATCTAATGATTAACTTTAATCGCGATTCGATGGATTGTCAATTCAGGTTCACGGTTCAAGAATCTTTATTTGAGCGGCTTCTAGTCGCTGGAGGGCTCAAGTGAACTCATTTCACGCACACAATCAGATTAATAAATCATCTATAGTCATTAACGAATCGAATAACTGTTACACTCTTAATGTATATACATTATACAATACTTTGTGCGAACATTTATCTTGGTGATTTAAGTATATTTTTTAAGCACCCTACAACACAAACAATAAATGTGTGCTTGCTCTTTACGATGCATCACCAGGATGATGGGGAACACGTCGATAATAAAATCAGTACGCTATATCTCTGCGCACAGAAACAGAAATAACACGCAAAGTACAATCAACCTTATCGGCCTTCTGCACCAAGGGCTTTCGACAGCATTTGTTCAAGCAGCAAACTGGACTGGGTTCGAAGTTAATTAGAGTCCCACCAGCGTAATTTACATTTCACATACAGGATAGTATACAGAGAGCATCTTATTCGCGGCAGCTGTAGGGTCCGCAAAGCCTCATTATTCGCGGCCTGATTATTCCTATTATCCGCGATCTTACTCAAAATGCATGGCGAAGCGGCTTCTATATTACTTCGAATAAGGGGATTTAGTAAGTTCACCTACCAGCTGCCATTGTTACCTATTAATAACCTTGTAGTTACAGGCTTTTGTATATTACTCATCAGCTGCCAAACGATTCATGTGCATGTTTAAAAAACGGTTGTGATCAGAAAACGCGTTTAAGATTAGTAATTGTCATCAGGCCCCATGGTATACAGAAGTGCAGTATTACATTACATTATTATCATCCACTCGATCTCTCTCGCCTATCTATATATACAGTACTAGCTTCTTTGCCCGACCTAGGACGGAAGCTGCAATATTTAGGAAAAATTTGAGAATTGTATAATTGTATCTTGTGTAAATTTAATGGCAGTGAATCTTGCACAAAAGTATGTCATCAAACACTTCACTGCATTTCACTGTAGCACTGCATTAATGGCAGTGAATCTAGCACAAAACTACGTCATAACACTGTAGCACTGTATATAACTGACCTTCAATTTGTTAAAATTCACTGCTTTGATACTTTAGTCTCTTCTGCTTTCAGCCGCTGGGGTTGAAATAAATAGAAAATCTATACAATATCTGGAAGATCACCGAGAAATGTCTATTTTAGCATAATGTAGAAGCATAAATTAGACTTACCTTTTGTCTAAAGTGCTGAAGAAATAAATAAAGACACCAAATGCACTTTGTTGCTGCGTATAATTATTTATTAGAGTCCCTTTCAAGAAAGAAATGTGAAACTTAAGGCGAATTTGCGAATTTTTTTTTATTTCCGCTCGACCTTCTTCTGCGTGAGTCTAAAAATACACCCGCTCATGAATATTAATGATGGGGGGGGGGGGGGGGGGGGGTGCGGCATGTGGAGTGACGTCATGCGCTCATGAATATTAATGACGGGGGGTGTGGCATGTGGAGTGACGTCATGTGCGTTACACACAAACAGACATTCTTGGCTCATTATAGTAGTAATAAAATATGTTTTATTTTAAGGCCAAACAGTGTTGTTGACGAATGTGTTGAGTTATTTGTTAAATGTGCTTGTGCGCCCACAATAAAGAGCAGAAAAACACCAGCAGCTGCACCAAACTACGCACAACAGCACGCGTGCATCTACCGAACTATAAGACGCACTGCTCTTCGTTTTACTTTCCACCACAGTTGGCGTGAACCGACACCCCCGTGAAACGAGCGAGGTTCCATCCAGGGTCAGGAGTACGCAACCAAAGTAACAACAACAAGGGCCACTTGTTTCGAATTCGGTACAAATAAAAAAACCCTCGAATATTTCAAGAGTGGCATAACGTCACGATGCAGGCCCTTTAAGAGCCCCAACGTGGTTGTCGACCCCTGCCCCTCCTTGTGAACGCATATCCTAGTGAACTATGAAGTGTATCTTACAATCTGGATTGTACGATAACTAAACACGCACACATGTATTCTGTTTAACACGTAGGCTTTCGCGACCAGTATCCATAATACAGGTTTTTTGTTTGTTAGGTTAGATCGTTTAAATGTATAAATGTGTCGTTAAATCCGCCACCACCCGACAGCCAATTAGTAAGGATTATCACGTGAACAGAACATGCCAATTCGTTACTCGTGTAATGACATGATGACACCTGCTGGCTGGGAAAGGGAAGCACGGGTACGGGCACGGTTAAGGGAACATCCAATCGGAGAGGGGGAGAGGTATCTGGGGCAAAGGTTAACAGGTGTGATTGGCCAAGATGCTCCGGGAACGTGCTCGAAGGTTCCACGAGAGGGCGTGGCCAGAGGCGGGGCCTAGCCGCGCCTGTGGGGGATATAAGGGGGAGCGGGCTCGGGGTTCGCCTGTGGATTCCTAGATCCTGGCTGCGTCGCTGCTCGCCGTCATCTCTCTCCGTCGTCCGGCCACGTGGAAGCTCTCCTGCGGGATTTCCATCGCCGTCCTCGTCACGCCGCCAGCCAGCGGCGTGGCCGAGTGAGGGCGGTGGGACCACGCCGAGTGATCGGCTGTGCGTGTAGCCAGTAGAGACGTTCATATCAAAGTGTTGTACTCAGAGTGAGAAGAATAAGGTTGGCCTGTGTTGTGCCCGGTGTGAGAAATAAGTACCCTTTACACGACGTGTTGCGGAAGTCGCTCATTACACTAGCACAGCACACCGGTGTGTTGGAGAGCAAAGCCTTTACAGTCTGAGTACGACGTTTTGCCAGTAATTATAACGAGCTTCATCAGGCGACAGCCAGATTTGTGGAGAAATCCTCCCATTTCCTTTCTTCAATAGAGGGGTAGCTGTGATGGCATCACTTGTGAGCCCTTCTTGAGCAATTTGGCGCGTTCTGTTTCCATGACAAACCTTACTAATTGGCTGTGTCGGGTGGTGGCAGATTTAACCACACATTTATATATTTCGATGATCTAACCCAAACCCCCCTCTCCCCCCCCCCCCCCTATTATGGATAAATATTCTGAGTCGTGGTGTAACGGAATAAAATGAATCTGGGACAGAATGAATGATCAATTATGTTCATGTGGAAGAAAGCCAATCAGCGTCAATGGGCGACCGAATGAATACACGTGCCTATGTGTTCGAGCATGGATCAAGCATGGATCAAGCTTCGTATCGTCAAAAAAAACGGCCGATTCCCGTGTACTCGAGAATCAAATCGTGAAAAAATGCGTCGATTCCCTTTCCGGCGTTCCTTACACGGGGCAAAGCCCCCCGCCTTGAGCATAATAAACGTTAAAATTGTCATCATTCATTCATTCTGCTCGCGAATTCCATACGTTGAGAGCGCCTCCGCGTGAGTGAGAGGGAAACCCTCCAGAGGCTGGCAACGCGGCCCCGCGCGGCGCAGGCACCGCCGAGGCCGCCCATGCGGGGGCCTCCCTCCTCTCCCGGCGTGCACCGCGCCCTCAGTCGTCGCCATCTTTGGTAGCGGCGGAGGCGGAGGAGGAGGCTTGCGGCTCCCGCGGTGTCAGAGACGCGGCGGGCAGAGGAGGAGGAGGAGGGAGACGCCGGGGTTGAGGAGCCACCCGGAGGGGTGGGAGAAGGAGGAGGGAGACGCGGGGAGGAGGAGCGACACCGGGGGCGAGAAGACGCGGGGGTGAGGAGACGCAGGGAGCGACGGGGGGACACCCCCCCACCCCCCGCGACTCCTCCAGCAAGCGTCGGGAGAGGCACGCGGCGGCCGGCGCGACGATGATGAAGAAGATGACGATGGTGGTGGTGGTGCTGGTGGGGCGCCGCGCCGCCTGAGGGAGGCACACGGCGGGGGGAGGGAGGAGGGGAGAGGGGGGGGGCCGCGCCGGTGAGGGAGCGAGAGGCGGCGGGGAAGCCAGCCAGTCAGTCCGGCCGTCTATCCTGGAGCCAGACGCAGCCAGGCAGGCAGGCAGGCAGCCCGTCTAGCCCGCAGAGAGGGTGGAGAGTCGGTGCTTATACTGTACCAGCCGGGATATATCCCTAGGGGAGACAGTGCGGGGACAGTCAGTCCTAGCGGACTCTATCTGGGACAAGACCATACCGATAAAAAGCGCAGGCAAGTCCTGCTCGCCCACGTCTACATAGCCCGGGGAGCGCGACAGATAGAGGGCGGTCTCCTGTTTAGGGGTGAGGCAGCCCTCGTGACCCGACTAGCCTGAGCGACAAGCCTTACAAGCTATCCCGGAGAGAGCACGGACAGCCAGCCCTTCTGGCTTGGACAACCATCCTGGATATATAGAGAGCAAGACAGTCCGGCTTGGCCGGCTAGCACTTCATCCCGGACATAAGTCTGGGCGAGCCCATTAAGTCAAGCTCGGCCAACCAGCCCTTTATTATCTGGCTAATCAAGACAGGCCAGCTCGCTCGCTCGCCCACCCACACGCCCATCCGGCGGGGGTCTCGCGCGTCTCTCTCGCACTCCCCTCCGCACTGTGACCACAGAAGATGGCGCACCCGTCGGTGCCGCGGAGAGGCAGCCTCAGCACGGGCGGGCTGGACGAGGGGGGAGGCTCGGTGCCGGGTCCTCAGCATCCGCAGCAGCATGTGCATCAGCAGCAACAGCAGCAGCAGCAGCCGAGCTCTCAGAGCCTGCACATGCCCACCAAGAAGAAGAGCGGCTTCCAGATCACGAGCGTCACGGCCGCTCAGCCCAACAGCGTGGCCGAGGACACGGAGAGCTACGACGACCTGGACGAGTCGCGCACCGAGGACATCTCGTCGGAGATCCTGGACGGCTCGCGCAACGCCGACTTCGAGCCGGGCGCCTACGAGCGCAGCTCCTCGGAGGAGACGCTCAACAACGTGGGCGAGGGCGTGGACACGCCGGCGCTCACCCCCGTGCACGCGCAGGGCGGCGTCTTCATGGTCAACGGGGGCCCGCACCTCGGGCCCGCCAACGCCGCCGCTCAAGGGCACGGCGCGGCCGCCAACCTCACCGCGCCGCCTCGGCTCGCCCCCTCCCCAGCGGCGGCATCGACAGCGGCGGCGCCCCCCTCGAGCCAAACGGTCGCGGGCCCCGCTGTGGCGGCCGCGTTCTCGGCTCCAGCTCAGCCCGGAGTGGCGTCTCCCAGAGCGGCGGCGGCGGTGCCTCCTGCTACTCCTCCCCCGGCGGCGCAGGCGATGGCGCCGGCTCCCGTCTCCGTGGCCACTGCGCCCTCCTCGCAGGTAGCTCCCTCCAACCCCCTGCAGCAGCAGCCGCATCCGCCCCACCATCACCACCACCATCATCTACCTGTGTGCAGTTCGCGCTTCCGCGTAGTGAAGCTGGACACCACCACCGAGCCCTACAAAAAGGGTCGCTGGACTTGCACTGAATATTACGAAAAAGAGAGCGCCTCGTTAGCGGCTGATGCGTCCGCCGCCGCCGCTTCTGCTGCTGTTGCAGCAGCTTCAGTTGCGGCTGCGGCGGCCGCCAGGAATAATGTGAACGACTCTATGAAGGAGAGCGGCGCCCCGACACTAGTTGCCGCGTCCTACAACGCGGTCGATGCCGCCAGCGGCGCCGCGCTGGCACGCGTGAATTCGTTGGATTACGGATCTCAGCAGGGCGGTATTAACGCGGTGAATTCGGGCGTGCCCGCGGCGTTCAACAAGCAGCAGGGCAACACCGTAGGGCACAATATCCAGCAGCAGCAGCTGTCAAATGTGAATGCTTTTGTGCAATCGGCGGGAGGGCAGGGTTCGATACAAACCGTGGGCGTGCAGCAGGTGGTGAGTGCTTCCGCTCAGCCGCAACCATCACAGCAGCCGCAGCAAATGAGCTATGCCGGGCAGCAGCAGATGGGTGTGCAGCCGCAGGGTCAGGCGATGGGGGGCAGTGCTTTGACTCAGGGGCCACTAACGGTGGCCCAGATGCCGGGGCCTGCGCAGACCGGTGAAGGGAAAGCGGCCACCATGGCCTCCTCGCAGCTCGGTGGGCAGCACCCACAATCCACACCGGCTGTGCCCCAGCCGCAAGCATTGGGACAGCCGGCCCAGTCCATAGCCCATCAAGTGATTCACAATGCGGCTGCGACTCAGCAATCGTACATTGCGCATCAGGGGTCAGTGGCGTCTCAGGTGACCCACCAGCAGCCTCAGCCAGGACAACCACTCGGCCAGCAAACACTTTTGGGACAGCAGCAGCAGCAGCAGCAGGTGATGCAACAGCCGCAGCCAATAGGACAGCAAGCTCAGCAGATGGGGCAAGCTTCAATGCAGCCTCAGTTAGGCCAACAGCAGCAGCAACCAGGAGGACAGCAGGCTCAGATGGGAGCCCAGGCACAGCAAAAGGGCCAGCAGACCCAAATGGGACAGCAGGCACTGCAGGTAGGACAGCAATCCCAGCAGCCGCAACAAGTTGGACAGCAGCCACCAGTGATGATGGTCGGGCAGCAGCTAGCACAGCAGCTTTCGCAGCATAATCCTCCACAGTCCCCTCAAGTGGTGCAGCAGAATCCCATGATGCCACAGCAGCCACCTCAGTCTCCATCTCTGGTACAGCAGCAGCAAGCTACGAGCCAGCAGCTTTTCCAACAGCAGACACCCCATCCAATAGCACAGCAAGCTTTTCCTCAGCAGTCAATGCCTACGCATGGGCTGTCGGAACAACAGCAGGCCATCAACCAGCACAACTTTCAGCAGCAGCCATTGACACAGCAGGCTCAGCCTATGACACCACAGCAAGCTTTCTCTCAGCAGCCACCAATGCAAGCACATGTGCTGTCAGAACAGCAGCAACAGGCCCTGAGCCAGCCTGCTTTCCAGCAGCAGCAGCAGCAGCCTCCCATGCTCCCGGATCAACAGTCAATGCAGCAGCCGCAGGCGTCCCAACCAGTGGGGCCGCCAGGCCCCGTGCTTCAACCGCAGCAACAGCAGCATGCGCAGCTGGCTGTACAGCCACCACCACAGCAGCAGCAGCAACACGGGCTGCTGCCCCTGCAGCAGATCCTGCCGGTGTCGGGTCTCGCATCGGGTGCCCCCATCGGCGGCGCCGCTCCTCAGCCCCTACCAGTCGGCTTGCAGCATCCTCTCACCCTCGGTGGCGATCTCGGCGGATACGGCGGCAGTTTCCTCCCACAAGCGGCCGCTTCCTTACTGCTCCAGCACGGGCAGCAGCAGCTGAGTCACCAGCAGAGCCAGGCGCTGCTCTCTCTGGCGTACAGCGTTGCGCAGACACAACACCAGCTGCCCGGCGGCCACCCGGAGGATCCGTCGGGAGCGGCCGCCCACGGGGAGGTGCACGGCGAGGGCTTCGCCGGAGGAATTCCTGTCATCCCGCAGCTGCTGCCCATGGCCGTCGGCGCCACGCAGGGCCTGCTGGAGTCGGAGGAAGAGAGGTAACCACGCTCGCAAGCGTGCTCGCGGGTTGCCAGTGTGCACGCGGTTTAATGTGTGCACCGTTTTCATCTGCCCTCCGCCGTGTCAATTGTTCGCCTGCATCTCCAACTTTTGCTCTGGCCATTAAGCGTCTCTCAGTCTGTATACTGTGTACAGCCAAGTCTTTTCCAGACTTGGATGTAACAGCTGCTGTGTAAAGGTATAATTTCTTGGCATAGAGAGTGGAAAGTGTGTAAGTGGTTTCGTGATGCAACATCGCATTAGGCTTCGTGCGCGGTGTCACTGGTATTTCATCCTCGTTGCAATGTGTGATTTAGAGCTCCTTGTATAATGCGTATTTTTTTAATTTAAAGTGGATCAACGAGCTTTAAGTGTGACGACAGTTCGGAAAACACGCGGAGAGTGAATTAATCTTCAGAGAGATCCAACCAACGTCTATTGGCCAGACTGCGGTATGAAACCGTCGCGAAGTGATGAGCGTGTTGTGTGGCACCGTAGATTTAAAATTCAAGTTGGACAAAACTTGATTATTTTTTTTTAGGTCGCGCTTTGTGCGTCCACGGCAGCCAAAAATGTCTTCCATAGTTTGCGCAGCCTTCTTGTGCCACGAGGGAGAAATTTTGCTGTCGGCTGCGTATTTCCCGCAAGAGGCACGTGAATCAATGGTTGGCGTGTCAGGCAGGTGGTAACCCCTCTGGCCGCATGGGAGCGTTTAATTTTCTTGGGCGGTGTGACCAGTGCGCTTGCATTTGTGCACGCTTCTGTCTTCCCAATGAACCGAATTTACACGTCTGAATTCGGAGTAAACTTTTAAAGTCATTGTGAATGGTCTAGTTTAAGATTAAAGATATATAGTCAGCTATTAGCGACTCGGGTGGGGAGCAAAGCAGCATTGTGATGGTGATTTGGCAAATTTCGGGCAAGTGAGCAGAGCTAGAGCTTCCAACCTCAACCTTTGGTCAACACTTCTCCGACAGAAGATGGGCAGGAGCTGAAGGTCATTTCTTTAGGACACTTTTTTTTTCCCCAAAGCTTTTTACACTGCAAGTGTTGTTACTAACAGGCCACTTTTAGGGGACTTGTCATGTTGGTTTAGCATGGGCTGGCAGTGGAAAGTTAAAGAGCCGCCACTTCCTTCTCGGTACATGAGTTAAAGGTACACTGTAAATACAGTCAGTCTCATAGATGCATTGAAAAATAACACTTTGCAAGTAAATAAAAAAATAGATTTATATAATACTCTTTCTTTGCTTGAAGTAATACAGTATTGGTTTTATTGACCTTGGAAAGATATTCCTCTTCAGGATATAAAACCGAAGTACTTAACATGCTTTTCTGATTTTTCACCAATGTTTTGCCATGCACTTGAAAATTTAAGCTTTGCGCATTCGGCTTCATTTATTAAGTCCTTTTAATCTCTAGGGCATCTTAACGGTAGACGGTGGTGGTTGTAAATTGATCGTAACTGTCATTTAAATGACGGATGGTGCTAGAAGTTTTGAGGTCGACCTGAAGTTACAAAGCCAATACAATAACACATGAAGCAAATCAAAATATAATGGGTCGAATATGGAACAAACCAGGAAAACCCTGAAAGCAATACGAAGCCTGAATGAAGACCTCGGTGCAAAATGCAGCGACCCAATGCTTGGTACACCCTTAGCGTTTAAACCGAAGTAATAAATATTGTAATTACATCCACCATAATCAAATTTCAAGCACGAACGTGGGCTGGAAATAACGTCCGTCGGCAAGTGGCAAAGATTTAAGTATTGCTGAACACTCGATACGTTTCCACCTGTCGACTTGCAAAGCGCCCGTCTGCCTAAGACGCGCAGGGCAAGGAAGAATTTGAAAACTTGCTCCTGCGGGCCAGAGAAAACAGCACGAGCGGTGCTAACTAAACAATTAGCAGGTGGACAAGTGAGTGGGTTGCATAGCTGCCCCCCCCCTTCCCCACCCCCTGTTGCCACATATCAAACTTTTGGGTGACCCACGCTGAGACGTTCATGCCGGTTTTCAAGGTGTTGTTTGGCATTGGGAAGGGCCTTGCCTAGCCTTGTGCCTCTCAGCATGCGTTGCCCCTTCCCTGCTACTTTGGCTTGACTGCAGATGCTTTACCCAGTGAGTGTCCTCTTCTAAGTTGACCGAGCCTGAAATGATTACCTGTTATGTTACCCTCCCGCCCCCACCACTTCCACCACCACCACCACACGCCTTCCATCCACCTCTTGCTTTTTCAGCTTGAAATAAGATCCTGGTTCTGGTTTGTGAGAACATAATGTTTTGATCAGCGCAAAGAGGTCAATTTGGTCACGGAAACCTGCCGCTCAGCTTTGATATATATGTTTTGCACACGGGTTTAACCAGATGGTTTTTTTGTCTTGGAGGAATGTGTCATTATAGTGAAAATACGACTTATACCGCCACCTCCCCACCCCACCGGGTCAATTCTGGGGCAGCTCGCCACATCTAACTTTGTGCCAGAGCTCGACCCTTCATTCGAGATCGGCCACATGCATTCGGACGAAGCCGCCAAGCCCCCTTGGAAAAACCACAGCTTGGACGGATGTACGTGTAATTTGCTGATCTGCATGCCCACACCTCAAGCTGTGCCAAAAGTTATTCCGCGGCACATTTGGTCGCTTAACGCCGAGCGTGGCGGCTTGCAGCTGTGCACCGCTTTGTCCCGGAGCAGCTTGCGCGCCGATCGGGGTGACGTCGCTGCCCATTCTCTCTGCCGCCGCCGCCGCCGCCGCCAATGCCGTCGCTCCGAAAATCCTAGCAGCACAGAGCCAGCCTACTCGCCGGCATTTGTACATTCTCTGGCTTAAATTGTTTAACGTTAAATGTAGCCGAGCACAGCGCTTTGTCTCGAGGTGGGTCACGTGCGCACAGCTGACGTCAGTTGCCCCCCCCCCCCCCATGCATTCATCCCTCAGCGGCTGCGCAGTTGTGCTCATTTTATATTTGCTCTACATTTTGTTTCGCCGGATTAAGTCGTTTGGCAGGTGTCGCGCTGCTCAATTTGGGGGGTTGGCGGGGGGGGGGGGGCACACACACGCGTGTGTGTGCCCCCCCCCCATGCGCGCGCGTGTGCAGAGCGGCGGCGCCACCGAAACGCCCGGCAGGAATGCAACTCGAGCCGCTTCATGTGGCGCTAGCGCCCGTTCGCCTATCGCCCCCCCCCCCCCACCTCCCATCCCACCCACCGGCCCCCCCTTCCTTGCGCACGCACGCGCAAACATTTCACGCCATCAAATGTAGACGCTGTGAGGCGGCCCCGGCTTTGGTAACGCGGGTAACTTGCCGCCATCACGGCGGGACATTGGCCTGTGACGACGCTTCAGTTCGTCGGTTTAAAATCGATTCGTATGCTCAAGATGAAGGCATACAATTGCGCGTCGTAAGAATCAATTACTGATTTTATTCTTGTATGTCTAGCCAAAGGTCCATTAACATTCTCGACAATGTAACAAAAATCATAATAAATTCTTGACAATTGGTATAATTTTGAAGGATTGGGTGGGGGGGGTGCTTAATGTTAAACTCTGAGTGATTTCTTGTTCACATTAGCATTTAGGCATTGGTACTTATCTTCTATTTACAGCCCTGAGCCAGTGGTGAAAATTCCACATTTCTATGGTGCGATGTAGTCTATCCATATGACAACCACTGTCCAATATTAATAAGCCACTGGAGCTATGCACATTTAAATTTTGATTGAAAACTAATTTCTTTAGAGCTGCTTTTTCTGTTTAGTTCAGTCTCTTCCTCCGATTAGCACGGTTGGCTACGTGCAGTGCGTAAAGAAGTACAACATACGTACGTCATATGTCTATCCATACCCAAATTGGTACTCGCTTTATTGACCCCCGTAGGGAATGACATGACCTTGCAACCTTTAGATTGCGAGCCACTTGCTCTAACCGGTGAGCCACCCGGTTAGTTAATAGGAAGTGGGCAAATGTCCCTTAAGAAATGTACCGACTCCCTCTTGCTCGTGTTTATGCTGGCAGGATGTGTCATTGTAATCATGTGATGGAAAGGCTTTGGGCCGTGGAGACCTTAACAGTGAGTCCACCCCGCCCTCCCTTGGGATTATAGGCCTCTTGAGCTTAGAAGAGAGCATGCGGGTTGCGACCCTCCTCCTCCTCCACTTGTTCCCACCGTCGCTCACACGCAGTTGGCCTTCCTGCTGAGGTGGCATGTAACAATTCAGCACCTTACTCCCCCCTCTAACACCCCCCCCCTCCCCCCAGAGATTTGATGAATGGTCACGCTTCATTGCCACAATTCGGTACAAAAAGTGATTATTTTTTGCCAGCACGTGTTGGACATTGTAGATGTGGAGGCATGCACTAAGGAGTACCACAATGGAATTTGCCGCATTGCCCTTTACTGCGCACGTAGCCCGGCATTGATGTAATTTCCGCGATAAATTACCTGAACGTTTTTCGTTCATTGTAAATAATTGACTCTTATGCACGAGCAGCAAAAAAAACCCGCTCTTGTCCGCACGTAAGTAATAAATTCATTTTAATGCAGCTGATCGCCGAGGTGTGCCACCAGCCCCGGAGGATGGATTTTCACCCAACGAGCCGATTGTATTGTTTACGGCGCCCGCTGTCGCGCCGCGGCTTTCGAAGCAAGGCGGTAGAACGACGACGGGTGACTAGGTCGCTCCGCGAGGCCTCACTCGTCCTCCGCGAGGCCTCGCTCGTCCTCCGCGAGGCCTCGCTCGTCCTCCGCGAGGCCTCGCTCGTCCTCCGCGAGGCCTCGCTCGTCCTCCGCGAGGCCTCGCTCGTCCTCTCTGATTGGCGTACGCAGGGAAGGGAGCAACGGTTGGCGCCGCCCACCCCGTCTCCTCTCCCCCCCCCACCTTTCTGTGAGTCAAAGCAGGCCTTGATGCCATGAAGCACGTGGCAAAGGATACGCGCAGTTTTCCCGGCACGTCTGCCGCCCTAATGCTCCCTCGCTGTGCTCGGCCTGGCTTTGA